AGAGAGAGAGAGAGAGAGAGAGAGAGAGAGAGAGAGAGAGAGAGAGAGAGAAGAAGAAGACTATGGTTGGAATCGAAAAAAAAGCAACATTTTTCAAAAAGTTGTCTTTTCGTCCCTTTTCTCCCACCCACACAGCTTTCCCCATGTTCCATTTACGTTAACATTTTCTCTTTTTATTCTTTTCACGTTACAGAACAGAACAACTGTGACATAAGACACGGACATCAACCGTTCTTTCCTAGGACTGTGACACAAGACACGGACATCAACCGTTCTTTCCTAGGACTGTGACACAAGACACGGTCCTCAACCATTCTTTCCTAGGACTGTGACACAAGAAAAAAGGAAGACCTCGTAACTCGCGCAAACTAAACATTAATTGACAATACTAGTTTTCTACAATCGGCAGACGCCTTATTTCATCACCATGTCAGGGCAGGTGGACAGCCAGAAAGACAGGTCAGTGGACGGCAAAACAGACAGGACGCTGGATCAGAAAGACATGACTGTGGACGGCCAAACAGACACGACGCTGGATCAGAAAGACATGACTGTGGACGGCCAAACAGACACGACGCTGGATCAGAAAGACACGACACCGGATCAGAAAGACACAACTGTGGACGATCAGGAAGACATGACAGTGGCCGAGCTGGCTCAATCGGGCGCCGTCCGGTGCTCCTGGTGTCAGGACACGTTCGAACGGCCCGTGATGCTGCCGTGCCTGCACACTTTCTGCCAGCTCTGCGTCATAGACCACATCCTGATCCTCGCCGAAGGAGAAACAAACGAACGGATGGAAAAAGCCCAATCGCTTCGTGAGGCGGGCTCAGAAACAGACATCACGGATTCCCAGTCCCCAGAATCAGACACCAGAGTTTCCCAGGCCCCAGAAACAGACATAGGAGATTCCAAGGCCCCAGAAACAGACATCGGAGATTCCCAGGCCCCAGAAACAGACATCGGAGAATCCCAGTCCCCAGAAACAGACATCGGAGATTCCCAGGCCCCAGAAACAGACATCGGAGAATCCCAGGCCCCAGAAACAGACATCGGAGATTCCCAGGCCCCAGAAACAGACATCGGAGAATCCCAGTCTCCAGAAACAGACATCAGAGATACCCAGGCTCCAGAAACAGACACCGGAGATTCCCAGTCCAAAGACACAGACGTCAGGAATTCTTCGTCCAAAGAAACAGACATGGGTAATTCCCCGTCCCCAGACACAGACCCCCCGAACACTCTGTCCGTCAACCCGCCGTACGTGACCATCTCGGTGCCGTGTTATTTGTGTCAGAAGACAATCACGCTCAGTTCCCTGGTGCCGCTCAACGATTTAGAAACACTACTCGACAGAAAGAGGGGAGGAGCGCTGAAAGAAAAGAACACCGCGGTAGAGACACCTCCAGAAAGAGGAGGCGACGATAGACCTAGGACACTGGCAGAGGAATTGATGATGGTCATCGAGGAAAGATCAAAAAATAAAAAAGATGGACAGGAATCGGAGGAGTTGGACTTGGAAGACAGCCTTGAGAGAGCAGCAAGAGCCGCAAGCGAATTCAGGGCTGCATTAGCGTCTATTCAAGACCTGGTAAAAGACAGCGTCAGTCCAGGAAAAAACGGGGGGCATAGCAGAACGAACGGCCGCCATTGTAGCTTTCTAGAAAAGACAAACTCGTGGCCGGCCTCAAAATCCATACGCAAGGCTCTGGTGACCATGGTAGTGGAGGAATGTCTGCCCGTCAACCACTTCATGAACTCCGTCAGTCACCTGAACCACCTGAAGAGCGACACTCCCAAACACTGCGACTACTGCTGTCTAGAAAAGGATTCGGGGTCGGAGTCTGAGACTGAGAGTGAGGATGACGGAGACGGAGACGGAGACGGAGACGGAGACGGAGACTCTGCCCCTCGCCGCGAAGTGCCCGCCTACGGCCGGTGCCTCGAGTGCGGAGACAACATCTGCGCCGCTTGCATGAAGGCGCACCGCAAGACGCGAGTGACGAGCAGTCACAAGGTGGCGCCCTTCACCAGCATCTGCCAGGGCCTCTACGACTACGACATCCGCCAGACGCAGAAGCGAGTACCCTGTGACCTCCACCCGGGCAGCGACCTCTCCCACTTCTGCACCAACTGTAACCGGCCGGTCTGCCAGGTGTGCCGATGTGACAAGACGCACCAGGTACAGTAGGCAACATCTCTTGTTGTTTCTTTTATATAATTTAATGTAAGAGTTTTACGGCACTTGCAGCACACTTAGGTCATACAAGCGCTGAAGATTAGAGGTGTTACAAGAGAGTAAATTACACAAAGAGAAGGAGATACTTAGTTTTAGTTTTAGTAAGTGTTTAACGGCACTTGCAACACAATAAGGTCATATAAGTGCCGAAGATTAGAGGTGTCACAAAGAGAGTAACATACATAAAAAAGAAGGAGGAGAGATAAGGACGATAGAAGTATGATAGGAAAGAAGAAGCCAACCACACCAGGGCACCCGCCAACCTCCCACGAAGGAGAAAAGAACGATAGATGTCTGATAGAAAAGAACGAACAAGCCACACCAAAGCACCCACCAATCACCAACATCTGTACTTAGTTGCATTCACATTCAAACGTTAGATAACTCCTCTTTCAAATGGTCACTGATTCATTCCACTTGAGATCTGCAGCAGTGCTTCATAACATCGGTTCATTCTTTTTGTGTGTGTGAAATTAGACAACTCCTTTTTAAAACGGCCACTGACCCGTTCTATAACGATGCATGAGAACTGAAGCAATGCGTCATAAAATCGCAGTTCATTCTTTTAAAATCACCCTGTATAACTGTCCCCGAGGTTTTATGCACCCTGCATAATTTAGCCAAATTTGATCTTTTTTTTGGGGCATAATTTCTGATTATTTTCCTTGATCATTCTTTGTTAACATTAACAGAATCGCATAATGTCACATTTTCAGGCTCAGTTTGCATAATTTCAGAATTTTTCTTGCATAAAACGAGAGGGACAGGTATAATAATACCGTGGAGTCGGTGGCCTAGTGGTTAGGCTCTCGGACTCGCAACCGTGAGGTCGTGCGTTCGAATCCCGTCAGGGACCCGACGTTGTGTCCTTGGGAAAGGCACTTTACACGAATTTTCCTCACTTCACCCAGGCGGGAATGGGTACCCGGCTATAGACAGCGAAAGATCTTGTCAGTTTGTTAGTGTTTGAGCGCTTAATCAGCTGCTTGCACTGTATGCTTCCCGGGAAGCTGAGAATGTTTTGGAATGTTCTATGGTCAGCTGTGGGTAATAATATAGTGTAAAGCGCATAGAGCCTGCTGTTGAGCGGGGATATGCGCTATACAAATGCTATTATTATTATTATTATATTATTATTATTATTATTATTATTATTATTATTATTATTATTATTATTATTATTATTATTATTATTATTATTATTATTACTATTATTATTAACACGATCTCCGCTTGCCTCACGCCAGAGCCACAATCTGGACAGTCTCTCGGACGCCCATGGCGCGGTCTCGCGTGAGCTGCTGCTGTTTGTCCGCGGGTTTGAGCAGCGCGTGATTATGACGCGCGACATCAGAGAGAATCTCGAGAAGAGGAAAGCCGAGGCCAAGAGGAAGCTGCAGATCTGTCGGGACGGCGTCATCAAATGGACGGACTACCTCAAGGTGAATGATTCTTACGCTTCTATTCTTTCTTTGTTTCCACGAAAAAGTGCTCTTTAGTTTTAGTAGAGTTTAAAAAAAAGTTTTAGTAGAGGTTTTACGGCGCTCGCAACTGCATACGGTCATAGGAGCGCCAGAAGATTAGAGGTGTTACAAAAGAGCAACACATATAAAAAAGAAGAAGGGGAGATAACGATATATGTTTGATAGGAAAGAAGAAGCAAACCACACCAGAGCACCAGCCAACCACCCACAATTCTTTCTTTGCTTCCACGAAAAATTGCTCTATCTGGCACACGCATTGGTAATCACGGTCTGCAAATCTTTCTTCTTTTCAAAAAGTTTTAAAGTTTTATGAAGAGTTCTACAGCACTTGCAACACAATACGGTCATAATATAAGAGCCGAACATTAGAGGTGTTACAAGGGAGTAACAAACACAATAAGGTCATATAAGAGCCGAAGATTAGAGGTGTTACAAGGGAGTAACAAACACACAAAGAAAAAGAGGAGAAGAAAGGACGATCGATGTTTGATAGGAAAGAAAAAGCAAAGCACACCAAAGCACCCGCCAACCTCCCACTCTCAATGTCTGTTCCAAGAACACTTAAATGGAAATAAAGATGTAGGAAATTCTGTATACACAGGAACAATAGAAGGCAACCCCCCCCCCCCCCTCAAAAATTTTTTTTTTTAAATCCCCACCCCAGAACCCCCCACCAAAAACTCAGAGGTAGCCTTAGAACAACTTAAGTTAGAAAACTTGAACAGAAGAGTGATAGGAGAGCAGGACAAAGTGTTTTTCCTCAGCACCTTGCACAAAAGTGAGAAGTCAACCACATGCGAAAGCTTCCATTTGCTCGGATGCTTTGATGAAATTTAGGGTTTCCCTGACTAGTACGACGGAAGGGGCCCGCCCCAAAACATCTAAATTGTGTCGTTTTTTAAAGTTTTAGTTGAGGTTTTACGGCGCTCGCAACTGCAGAAGGTCATATGAGCGCCAAGGGATAGATGTCAACAGAGAAGTCCTTACAGGGAATCAGACTTACTCTGCTCACCTCTCTAGCTTCAACAACACAAAGTCTGCTTCGACTATCAAGGCACCCCGGAAATAGTGGGTCACAAGAGAGTGACAAACGTACATAAGAAGTAGAGGCGAAACGACGAGAGTTAGGGTTAGGGGGAAAAAAGCAGCAGTTGAAGTTCCCTGTTGCAGTTCAGGCACAGTTATGAGCATGACATTGATGAATCGGCCCATTTACAATTACAATTATACTGTGCATAAGAACTCGAGATGTTAATGTCCCCCCTTTGGGAATGGCCTAAAGACACTTCAGTCAGTAACATTGCCCGGGGGGGGGGGGGGGTAGATTGTGCTGGTGGGGAGTAATATTAACAGTAACAACATGTGCAATGACAATCCATATTGCATAGGTGTTCGATCAGCAGCCGCCCCTTAAATTGGTCGTTGTTAATGACAAGCGGGCTAACCCAGATTTCGGGGGTTTCCAGAAATCTGGACCAACACCAAATGTGGACATTGCCCTACCTATAGGAGAAGTTTGGTTTCATTGGTGTGTATATTTGTTTGGTTAGAGAAAACTCTCCTTGTCTTTTAAAGAAACTGAACAAGGGGCAAAAACTTTTACCTTCGATTTTCTCAAAACAGCATTTTTGGGGATAGCCCCTTTGTGCTTTAAAGTGTTAGACGAGAGTAACACAGTGCAGTCACCTGAACAAGTGACCACTTCCCACACCTACCCATGCCTTTCTTTCTTTCTTTCTTTCTTTTTTTTCTTTTTCTTTAAAAGGGAAGGGGGGGGTTGTTTGTAATGAAACATTTCAATAACACTGTCCAAAACAAAACGTCCGCCCACCTGTCTAAAACACCCCCCCCCCCCGATAAATGAGGTGGTGGCGATAAATGAGGTGGTGGAATCGAACAATTCCGACTGAAAAACACCACCCACTATGCTAGGTTTTGTTTAGTTTTCGTACGAGTCTTACGGTACTTGCAACACACAATAAGGTCATATAAGTGCCGAAGAATAGAAGTTTTTTTGAGTACATATCGCCGTTGGGGGCGTAAAAAAGATGTTGCAATGAACAATGTGCACGTATTTTGTCAGTAACCACGACCAACTTTCTCGTCATTCAAAGATTGTACTAGAACAGAGACGGGAGGCCACGATCAAACTTTTGCAACAAACCTTTCAACAACAAGACATGGACATTGACAGGTCTTTGAGTAGTTTGAACACGGCCATTGACAGCACGAAAATCAACGCTGACTACGTCCGGCACCTTGCAAAGAACGGAAATTCCGCTGAGGTAATAAAACCGTCTCACAAAATATGAAGCCTATTTATGTGTGGTTTAAATCAAGTATCTCTGAATGTCTGCTTCAATGTTGTTTGCCTGCCTGCTTAAAACCACGTGTTGCCATCGCTTGGCACATCTCGTCTGTTGTCAATGCGTATGCCGTTTGTTGTCATCTTTTGGCACATCCCATCTGTTGTCATCGCTTGACACACTCATCTGTTGTCATCGCTTGACACACTCATCTGTTGTCATCGCTTGACACACTCATTTGTTGTCATCGCTTGACACACTCATCTGTTGTCATCGCTTTCTGCATACATGTGTTATCCTCCATTGACATATCTCATGTGTTGTCTTCTCTTGACATATCTCATCGCTTGGCACTATCATTTTTTGTTATTGCTTGACACATCTCATCAGTTGTCATCGCTTGACACATCTCATTTGTTGTCATCGCTTGACACATCTCATCTGTTGTCATCGCTTGACACATGCACATGCCACATCTCATCTGTTGTCAAAGCTTGACATATCTCATTTGTTGTCATCGCTTGGCACATCCATTTTTCACCACTGCTTGGCAGCTCCATTTGCTTCCTTCAATTGGTGAGTCCATAGGCCATGTGTCGCCATTTGTTGGCTCATCCATTTGTTGTCATTTGTTGGCGCATCCATTTGTTGTCATTTGTTGGCGCATCCATTTGTTGTCAGTGACTGGCGCATCATTTGTTGTCACTGGTTGGCGCATCCATTTGTTGGCATTGGTTGGCACATCTCACCGCTTAATACATCCAGCTGTAGTCACCGTTTGGCCCTTATCATTGCTCTGCCACTCCATTTGTCCCCTACACTTTGTAGGCCCATTTGTTGCATTTGCTTGGCACATCCATTTCTTGCTCTCTCTCGGCACATCAATTCGTTGAAATCGACAGGCACATCTATTTGTTGGTGGGTCAAATTTTTAAAAGTTTTAGTACGTGTTTTACGGCACTTGCAAACACAATATGGTCATATCAATACCGAAGAATAGAGGTGTTACAAGAGAGTAACAGACATGAAAAAGAAGGAGGGGAGATAAAGACCATAGATGTTTGATAGGAAAGAAGAAGCAAACCACACCAGAGCATCCGCCAACCACCCATGTGTATAAAATGGTCGTCATTGTTTGGGACAAACATGTATTACCAATCAATAATAATCAATAATAATAACTACATTGATATAGGGCACATCCGTGCTCTATAGCATGCTTTACAAACTTCCGTTGTCATTGCATGGCGCACGCCAAACAGTTGATTCTTTTGGCATATACATTTGTTTGTCATAATTCGACGCATTCATTTCTTTATATTGTTCGGTACGTGCATACATTCATTTCTTTACATCGTTCGGTACGTGCATACATTCATTTCCTGTGTTTGGAGTATACATTTGTCGTCTTCGTTTGGGATACACTTTCGTCGTCACCATTTAGCACACACATTTAATAATGTCATCGTTTGAAGCATACGCTAGTTGTGTCATAGTGTGGCACATACATTTGCTGTCATCGCCTGAAACATACTGTTGCATAGCCAATCGCTTCCATCACATAGCACACTATCAGTCGCTTTCATCTCATGACATGGCCAGTCGCTTTCATCTCATGACATGGCCAGTCGCTTTCATCACATGGCATCATCAGTCGACTCCATCTCATGGCATAGCCGGTCACTTTCATCTCATGACATAGCCGGTCACTTTCATCTCATGGCATAGCTGGTCACTTTCATCTCATGACATAGCCGGTCACTTTCATCTCATGACACCATCAGTCGACTCCATCTCATGGCATAGCCAATCGCTTTCATCTCATGGCATAGCCAATCGCTTTCATCTCATGACATAGCCGGTCGCTTTCATCTCTTTCATCTCATGGCATAGCCAGTCGCTTCCATCTCATGGCACCATCAGTCGACTCCATCACATGACCTAGTTATTCGCTTCCATCTCTCGGCGGCGCGTCCATCCGTCATATTTGACGAACCAAAAATCATCCAAGTCACAAGGCAGCCGTCCGCTTTCAGATAGCCCAGCAGTACCCGCTCGTCCTGGCTGTGTACCGGCAGATGTTGGCCAGCCAGGTGCAAGAGGTGAGCACAGAGCTGCATGCCAACTTCACGCCGGGCCCGGGGAGCCAGGAGAACATTGACATCTTGTACTGCTTCACGTGTATTAGAGAGAGGGGGAGAGAGAGAGAGAGAGAGAGAGAGAGAGAGAGAGAGAGAGAGAGAGAGAGAGAGAGAGAGAGAGAGAGAGAGAGAGAGAGAGAGAGAGAGGGAGGGAGGGAGAGAGAGAGAGAGAGGGGGGGATAGACGAGTGAGAGAGAGTGTGTGAGTGTGTGTGTGTGTGAGTGAAAATGAGAGAGAGACAGAGAGACAGAGAGAGAGAGAGAAAGAGAAAGACAAACAGACAGACAGAGAGAGAAAGAAAAGGCCTGATATAATTTAATCATTAACGCAATCACCCACAAATTCATCACCATTAATTCCTTATTCAATCGTTGCCCCCACCCTCCACCCCTCCCCCCTGTTCCAGAACCTTATCCAGATGACCAGCCTGATGCCCAACCCCGTAAAGCCTCCGCTCCGAGTGACCCAGATCAATGCCCGGTGCCCCAGCGACACGATAGACCCCTACCCCACAGGCATCTCAGTGGGGCCCGTCATCACCGCCGTGGTAGACCGCGAGAACGCCGCCGTCAAGTTGTTTGATGCCACGGGGAAGTACCTCCGGAGCTTCAGGGGATCCGGGAACAACACCCTCGTCAAACCGTTCGATGCGGCCTGGCTCCCCAACGGAGCCCTCGCAGTCACCGACCCTGGCGCTGGGGCGGTCCGCGTCTTCGACTGGACGGGACATTACATCACCGACTTCAAGGGCGAGATACGCCACCCCAGGGGGATAGCTCTGGATATGAAGAGGTGGGAAGTGGTCGTGGTCGACAGCCATCTCCGCCGGCTGAGCGTGCACTGCGCGGACACGTGCGAGCAACTGCTCACCCTCCGACCAATGAGCGGCGAGCGTACGGGTGGAGTTGTGGAGCACGCCAGCCGAGAGCAGCTGGTGGATCCGTGCTACGTGGACGTGACACCCACGGGGAATTACGTGGTGGCAGACGCCGTGGCACCGCACGTCAAACTGATCTGCAGACCACCGGGGTCGGTGAGCGGGCAGCAAGGCACGGTCCCAGAAGAGGAACAGCTACTTTTGGCGCAGGCCGTGGACTACGGCGCAAGGGAGGAGGAGACGCTTCGCCCCGGGGGTGTATGCGTCGACAAGTTTGGCCAGATCCTGCTGGTGGACACGCTCAACGGACGCGTGCACCGCGCGCTGCCCGATGGGAGGCTGGTCGGGGTGGTCGTCGGGGTAGTGGATGGTCTGTCTCACCCGCTCTGCCTCGGCCTTGACAGGCATGGTCATGTATTCGTGGCACAGGCGGGGGGACACATCGTGGTGCTCGAGTATGTGTAGATAGGAGTGGTAGAAGTACGGAGGTGTTGGGTGTGGTCGAAGGGAGTGAGTGAGAGAGAGAGAGAGAGAGAGAGAGAGAGTGAGAGAGATACACGAGGGGGGAGTATGTGTAGATAGAGAGATGAGGGGGGAGTATGTGTAGATATAGGAGTGGTAGAAGTACGGAGGTGTTGGGTGAGGTCGAAGGGAGTGAGTGAGTGAGTGAGAGAGAGAGAGAGAGAGAGAGAGAGAGAGAGAGAGAGAGAGAGAGAGAGAGAGAGAGAGAGATACATGAGGGGGGAGTATGTGTAGATAGAAATGGTAGAAGTACAGAGGTGTTGGGTGAGATCACATTAGAGAGAGAGAGAGAGAGAGAGAGAAAGAGAGATATACATTAGAGAGAGAGAGAGAGAGAGAGAGATCACATTAGAGAGAGAGAGACGGAGAGAGAGAGAGATATACATTAGAGAGAGAGATAGAGAGAGACGGAGAGAGAGGGGGAGATATAC